TTAACCATCCTAAATTGCTGTAGTAACGTTATGTTTGGTTCAGTTTATCTATTACGATAGTATGTCCATAATACTTCTGTAGTAACCTCAACCAAAAGTTGCTATATTCCTCAGTCAATGTTATCTTTCATACTCTGCGTCCTTCCAACACTGCTTCATTATCCCTAGTGTTTGTTTAATATTCCTATTATTCTCTGAGATCCCTAACTTCACTTCCCATGAATATAAGACATTCGCTTCTCTATGCGTCGTAAACTACATCCTATTTCCCCTTTTATCAACTAAGATCATAGCCACAGCTCTTCTGAAACCATCAATCCACCATTATTAGAATACATCAGATCTAGGCAACTGTCCTTTCTAAGTAGGCTACAAGTAACACCAAACACTTGCTGTAGTTGATCAGCATATATTTAATTTACATCCATACTATGAATATCCGATTTATGGATAGACATTACAACACCATTCTCAATTTTTTAATCTAGCAAACCCATAGGCAACGCAAAAAAAAAGACCACCATGCAATCGTCTCGCTATTCCTGTTAAACAAGTGAGTCTTTCCATTTGAACCACGCACGCTTCAAACCTTCCATTCTATATCACAAAACCAAATACTCTGTAGTATCCGTTCAAGCAACACACACCAACAGTTGAATTATCCTCAGAAAACCTGATTTTACTCTATTTAATTGAAATGACAAATAAATCCCACAAATAGAGCAATTACAATGGTTTGTCGTCTTACCATCTGATACAAAATGAAGTTCCTTCACTTCACCACCTTAGCTCCACACTGATAAGTAGTTTAATGCAAACCCTAAATTGGCTTTGTACAATATTATACTTACGTCTTTAACCACATTACTTATGGTCAGAATTACTTATGGTTTATTCCTTAAACCTTCTCTATCACATGATCCAACAACGGTACAAACTTAGAAAACCCGTATTCATTATTTTCCCACCCATAACGTACGTTTGGGTGAGCAAGTTAATACCTATATAACGTTAGAAACTTCTAGGTACTCACATCCAAGAATCCCTTCGTGTTTTTGTTTTTTTACCAATACACAATCGACACCCAAACCTCTTCAAACATTCTCCCAGCGGACCAAAACAATAGACTGTAATTTTCAGGACACTGCCCTGCCTGTCCAGAAAATACACTTTTCCACTACTCTATAAAACAGCATCACAATATCCATACCACTCCTTGATATTCTATGACCTAATTCTGTTATATATCGCAACTTCTTATCCAAACTTATATCAAATTATCAAATCCATTTCTATAACTTATTATGCACCCTTCAGATTCAAATTACTTTATACTCTTTGTTCATAAGAGAGCCCATGTTGTCCCATTCAATTACTTAACTTTGTTAGCTGACTTTTTCTCCTTATTACTTATTTCCTTGCCATTGTGCGCTCATTAAATCGCATGCTTTATACGCCTCTTTCATATAATGTAAATCCCATTTCGTGTTGCTTACGGCGATATTGTCAATGATATATTTTCGCGCTATCTATAACTTATCCCTTAAAAAAACAAAAAAAAACCTTACTCATTATCTGTCCATGCGGATAAATCGCCAAGATTTGGTCCCCCATTGAAAAATCCTAATTTACTTAACATCTATTACTTTTACAAGAGACTAATTCTAAATGCAGATTAGTTTGTAATAATTTCGTCATTTCCTGTTTCTCTCTTCGAGTTAAATGAAGCTCTGCTTTACTCTTAATGGTGGCTGTTTTTCCAGATACCGGTCTACTAAACTGGCCATTCATTACTGCTATTAGTTCATGAAGTATTAGTAATTAAATACTTTAATCAAATCCCCATTCTGTAGCTATGATTCACTATGTTACATTGCATCTGCTCCGAGTCTTTCACAAAACATTTCTCTCCTAACCAAGGTATTCAAATCTAATGATGATACTACACATCAGAGGTCCGTAACCTATTTCTTTAATTTTCTTTACCAAGGTATTCAAATGATGATACAACACATCTCTCTAAGTTCTACACCTACTCCTGTATTCTCTTTTGTCTTTGTACTCATTACTGTTAACACACCCTGTTTTGAATCATAGCACCATGTTATTGTCTAATTTGATAATTCTCCTTACATCTCACTAAATAACTCAATACCACTCATCGTCCCCCTCTAAAGTATTGCATTTTAAAAGTTCGTTACAGCTCAGCTTTACCACAGATGAGCAGAATTTGACATAATCAAATAAATGAAAGTCTGCTTACCTGTTAGTTCGGCTGTAAACTGTATCCTGTTCGTTTAGATGCCAATCTGTTATGATGAGTTTCTAGGGTATCAAGTAATTCATGATGTAAGAATATACTTAGACACTTTTGATGGGGAGTTTATATAAGTATTTAAAAGGTACCATGGTTCGATATAACAGCAGACATAGCTTTGCCTCTTGCCATACCTACTGAACAAAGACCATATCTCACTTATATACCCTCTGTTACACGTTTCTTCAACCACATCTGTTAACCATCAGTGGGCACTCTCTTCTCTGATGTTATTCTCTTGTACCCCAAGGCAATATGTCCTATCCATCAATCATGCTACCATAAACATCAGTAATCTCCTTTGACATAATGGAATGTAGACTCTGTGGCACCAAGCCACTTATCTACTAACTCTAACCTGTTCCCACACAACACTATGAAAACATCATAACAACAGGGCACGAGTGGTCACGGAATGGTTTGATGAGCATGAAAACTATGTAAACCATATGCCATGGCCATCTCCGTCACCTGATCTCAACCCAATTGAACACTTATTGGAGATTCTGGAGCGGTGCCTAAGATAGCATTTTCCACCATCAACAAAACATAAAGTGATGGAATTTATTGTGTAAGAATGGTGTTGCATCCCTCCAATAAAGTTCTAGACACTTGTAGAATCTATGCCAAGGTGCATTTGAAGCTCTTCTGGCTCGTGGTGGCCCAACGCCCTATTAAAGGGATAATCCACCCCCAATAAAATTATGAAATTCCTGTCATTTTGGTGAAAGCCTATGTTCTGTCAGTGGGTAAAATAAAACATTTCCGCATGATTTAACATCTAAGTGGTCCGTCTGTGAAAATCAGGATATCGTGTAGGATTGCGTCATAGCTACATAATTCTCATCACTGGAGATGGGGATAACACACGATCACATTTCATAATGTTTTAAAACGATTACCTGCACTCCAGATCGCCAAATCAGCCAATAGATGGTATGGGAATACTTGTCCAGAACCCATCCATCCATTTATATTGTCATGACAAAGTATATATATCTCGCTGAGATGTGCTCAATCTAAATGGTGTACCAAATTATTCAACTCCGTTTCTCCTTCAAGTACCTTGTCGCAATGCACCCTGTGTCTGTGGGAAACAGAGATATTACAGAAAGGAGGAGACAGGAATCCAATTGGACAATGAATGGAGAAACGGCCCACCCACTGACTGTCGACCCATCGCATTCACGTTGTCATGCTGTGTCACGTGGTTGCTAAGCTAATCGTCACACAATCCCTTCTTAAAGTCAGGGTATGTGTTGAGAAACCTGCCTATTTTCCTCGAAAGTACGTAATGTCACGATTCTAAAGTTATACGATATTATGGAGAACAAGTGAATTATCTTGGAAAATATTAGCAATATTGTACTTGTTCACAAAATTAATTGTTCACGCCCTATTGACTCCCATTCACTCCATGAAGGAGAGCTCTCCTTGTCCCAGAATCACCCAGAATGCCCCGCGCAACCTTATGGACAACGTACACAATGGGTGTTAATACGATTCTAATGGAGTTTCCCATCTCAAAAGTATCTGTGTGGGAAAGCAACGTTACTCTGCTCTCGCTCTGGGCAGAGATGCCGTTTATAGCTCCGTGACCGGGACGAACTGCAAGTTGAACTCGGTAAGACTCCTAAATTGATAGTGCAGTTTTATTTAGGCGATTTTACAGCTAGCTAGCTACTTCACATGCTGATATTGACTTTGGTATTATTGTGTGTAGCTATATGTTCTAGCTAGCTAGCTGCCTAGCTAGCCAGCCAGCCAGCCCAGAGAGAAAGAGCATTGCATTGTGGGTTTTCTCCCTCTCATCCCGGAGGACCTGAGCCCTAGGACCATGCCTCAGGACTACCTGGCCTGATGACTCCTTGCTGTCCCCAGTCCACCTGGTTGTGCTGCTGCTCCAGTTTCAACTCTTCTGCCCACTGCTATGGAACCCTGACCTGTTCACCGGATGTGCTACCTTGTCCCAGACATGCTGTTTTCAACTCTCTCTCTGCCGCACTTGCTATTTCAACCTCTAAATGCCCGGCTATGAAAAGCCAAGTGAGATTTACTCCTGAAGTACTGACCTGTTGCAACCTCTACAACCACTGTGATTATTATTTGACCCTGCTGGTCACCTATGAACGTTTCAACATCTTGGAGAAAAATCTGGCCTTAATGGCCATGTACTGTTATAATCTCCACCCTGCACAGCCAGAAGGGGACTGGCCACCCCTCAGAGCCTGGTTCCTCTCTAGGTTTCTTCCTAGGTTTCTGCCTTTCTAGGAAGTTTTTCCTAGCCACCGTGCTTCTACATCTGCATTGCTTGCTGTTTGGGGTTTTAGGCTGGGTTTCTGTATAGCACTTTGTGACATCTGCTGACGTAAAAATGGCTTTATAAATACATTTGATTGATTGATTTGACATGCAATAGATTTCCAAAAACGATTTTCACATGTTTCTACCAACCTTGTTATAACCACGAAATGAAACATTTGTTCACAAAACTTGTTTTCACATATTAGTGTTATTTAACACTATGTAACACTGTTCATCATAGGTTTGGGGGTGGATTATCCCTTTAGTGGTTTTGGTTGGGGTTTCCTTTATTTTGGCACTTACCTGTATTTGCTGTTCTTCCCTTGGCATGAATATGTTGTGTGTTTCTAAACGTCCTTCCTCTTCTGTCCATGTTCAGTTTGACCTGACAGGACTTAGTGTGTTTGAGTACACACACCCCTGTGACCATGAGGAGCTAAAGGAGATGCTGGTACACAGAACTGGTGAGACACACCCCTGTGAAAACACACTCATACTCAAGGTTCCTACTGAGAATAGACTCTGCTGCACACAGCACTCTGGAATATCAGTGTAACAAGTAGTGTGGGGCTGAATTTAGCAGCTTCAAGCAAAAAAGTCAGAGCCTGTCAGAACCAGTTATAATTTCCCACTCCAGTCCTGAGGTCAGGGTGATTAGAGTGGGCTACTGTCTTTTCCCATGGTATTCACTCTGCTTCACTGGCACCATTCCTTTTTTGCACATCACACCAACACTAAATGTAATTTTTATTTCTTAACCTCAGTCTTACGTTCTCTCTCCTCCTCTGCCTTTTCAGGGATCTCTAAAAAATCCAAGGAACCAAACACAGAGCGCAGCTTCTTCCTGCGGATGAAATGTACCCTCACCAGCAGGGGGCGCACTGTCAATGTCAAATCAGCCACCTGGAAGGTTCTCCACTGCTCAGGCCATGTGCGAGTCCATGAAGCCCCAGCTGAGCAGAGCCCCTGTGGGCACAAGGAGCTGCCCGTCTCCTACCTGGTGTTGGTCTGTGACCCCATCCCCCACCCCTCCAACATCGAGGCTCCGCTGGACACCAAGACCTTCCTCAGCCGCCACACACTGGACATGAAGTTCACCTACTGTGACGAGAGGTGAGACTGAGACCTACCATTCCGCTGACTGCAGCATCAGCATGAATAATGTAGTAGAAGAATACTGAATCTAACACAAAGCTATACTCCATATAAGAATAAGGGCTATTGTTGTAAGAATATATGTTGCGTTGAATTTTTTCCTTAAAATTAAATGACTTGTATTCACACAAAGATGTGATAAAAGAATATGTAGTTCCTAAATGTAGTGCCACAGAGCCACCTTGTGTCCAATAGGTTTAATGGCACTCCAGTAAACAGCAGGATTAACCTGTCCCCTATCTCTGTGTTGTCCAGGATCACTGAGCTGGTGGGCTATGATCCAGAGGACCTGTTAAATCGCTCTGTGTATGAGTACTACCATGCCCTGGACTCAGAACACCTGACTAAGACCCATCACAACTGTAAGCATCCCCACCTAAACATGACAATGCAAAGTGTATTCGCCCTTAAAGCAGACACGTAATCTGGAAATGCCCAATGCTTTGCAATATGCTTCAGTACATAATACAATGTTGACAGACTAGGTAGCTACTTGCAGTCTCTCTTTCCTCTTCCTTTTTTCTCACCCTCTTCTTCTTTCTTCGGGTCTCTCCAGTGTTTGCGAAGGGCCAGGTGAGCACAGGCCAGTACCGCATGCTGGCTAAGAGAGGCGGCTTTGTGTGGGTGGAGACTCAGGCCACTGTTATCTACAACAACAAGAACTCCCAGCCCCAGTGTGTTGTCTGTGTCAACTTTGTGCTCAGGTACCGTCATGGACTACACAGTGTGTTATATAGAGGCTAGTTTGATCAGGGCTTTAAACTGTCTGGTGGACCGACCCCAGTGGGTTCTGACTCAACCAATCAATCAGATTTTCACTTTGTAAGGTGGAGTAAGACATGATATTTAACTGTTTTTGTCTCCCTCTTCCTCCAGTGGAATTGAGGAGGAGAAGATGGTGCTGTCTCTGGAGCAGACGGAGGACATGAGACCTGTAAAGAAGGAGCTGGTGGAGGAGGAGGAGGAGGAGGAGGAGAAGGAGGAAGAAGAGGAGGAGAGCTCTGAGGCAGAGGTGTCCCCTGTGCTCCTGAAGGAGGAGAAGGTGGATGTGAGCAAGCTGTTCACCCAGGCAGTTGAGGCCCAGCCCCTGGCCAGCCTGTACGACAGACTGAAGGAGGAACCAGAGGCCCTCACCCTTCTGGCCCCGGCCGCAGGAGACACCATCATCTCCCTGGACTTCAGCAGCCCCGGTCAGTACCCTGCCCTGCCTGGAGCTCTGTGTGATAGTTACTTTTGAATAGAAAATGAACTTTATAATTTGTGATAGTCACACTTTACTGGTCCCAACCCTAACCCAAACTCATTCTGACCCCCTTTTTACTGTCCCTGCAGTCTCTGACATCCTGCTGAAGGAGGTGCCTCTCTACAACGATGTGATGCTGCCCTCCACCAGTGATAAGCTGGCCCTGCCGCTCTCTCTGCTGCCCTCCAGTGAGCAGCCCCTGGTCCCCAGCACCTCCGTGGACACCAAGGCTGGTCCAGACTCCTCCAGGACCCCAGGCAGCTACAGCTCCAATGAGGTGAGCAGGGATACCACGTCCAGACGGACCACTTTTAAAACTGCCAATCAGGAAATCAATGGAAAGTTGCTACGTCAAAAATACTTCTGTTCACAAAATCTAGTCTTTAACCAATGTAATGTCCTCTGCAGCCTGACAGCCCGCTGAACTTCTGTTTCCCAATGGACTCTGACATCAGTGCTGCGTTTAAACTGGACCTGGTGGAAAGACTGTTTGCCATCGACACAGAGCCCAAGACGCCTTTCACCTCACAGGTACGGTACCTACAGTATCAATGCTAAGACATTCTAATGCATATGGGTCCTTCTATAAACTAGGGTACCAGGGAGGATTTCCTACACTGGACAACTTGTTGCATCTGTTGATAAGTCATTGATAATAATCTGCCCATTTTTGTCATGTCATTACATTAAGGTATAAGGGGGTATCATAACTATATTCAATAAAATTCACGAGTTGATTTAAAACCTATTTTTCAACCCTTTCTCATGGTTGGTGTCTTGACGGATTTGTCCAAAATTGGTGTAAGTTGTTGTTATATCATATATTAAGTAAGCATTAATCAGTTAAATTAGTCAATGAACTTGAATCCTGGATCTAGCTGTTGGACAGTTTATTTGTATAGAGATCTCAGAAATGCAGTGTAACTAAGTAACATTTTGTGTCTCCTTATGTTACGGGGTGAAACCATTAGCATGGTTCTTCAATAATTATGCATAAAACTTGTTGGAATGCGCATTTGGTATCCAGCTGATTAGGTACGCCGTGATATTTTCACACATCATCATCTGATCCAGGAATTAATTTTCCGAATGAGAGTCAAGTGGCGAACAGCTGTTGTGAAGCTGCAAAAAATGTGTTTGCGAGGAATGTCCAGAATATTTTGGTGTCCTATTCGTTACGCCAGTGAAGACAGTTGTGCCTGGATCCACGTTGGATCTAATATCCCTAGCAAATTGAGATTGATAATCTGTTGTCTGATTGATTTACAGCAGGTTCTCGTTAGATTTAACAGAGAAAGCAGCAAGGTAATGAGTTCATGTTTTCATATGTTTTTGTGCCTCGGATTGGACACTGAGTCTACTGTGCGTAGGATAGACTATTGCGCAACACCAATGCTGTTCCTATTATTTATTCTGGATATAATGACAACAAATGAAATAACCTAGTGGGCTTATTCACAATATAATCTGGTAATGAAATAATGTGATATTTAGTTTTCCATGTTAGACCTGCAATTTTAAACAATACAAGGGGCTTGAAGTAGCCTACTTCAGAAATTCAAGTATTGGAATAGGCCTACCTTGAAAATCAGACATTTCCTAGATTTCGTGCTTGAAAAGTTGTAATTATTGTTGCCAATGTATAAGTTCTCCTGCTCCCTTATAATTATCTGTGGCTTCATTTTTGAGTTTTTGTAGGAGATGTTCTATATTAGGGCCTATATGTACAATTATATAAATTTTACAATTGTATAACATTGAGGTCCTTGAAAATTACAATTAAGTGCTTGAAAAAGTCCCTGAAATTTCTTGAATTTTAATTTAACATACAATGTCTGTATGAACCCTGCTTAAAGAATGTATAGCCCTATGTTGTATAGGTGGAGTAATGGGTCAATTTGCATACATTCACTTTTATTCCTCTTAAGTACACATGTGGAACTGCATGAAAATGAATTTTATTTTTTGTTTCAAACCATTTTGAAATGTTGATCCCAATGTCACACATTGGCCCCATTATTTATAAAAAAAGACCCATATACGTGTGGGTAGACTAGCTTTTTTGATATTCTAATTGACCTCTGGGGAATACTTTTTTTCACAATTGGTAAGTTTTCTATAATATCCATGTGGTCACCAGAAAATATTCATGAATTTGGATTACACACTATCAGTAGCTGGAGGAGGTAGTGAACAATATAAGGAATAAGCTGGGGTGGCAGTGGGACGCGTCCATCCTGGTACAATGGTGAACCTGAATGAAAGCGAATCAGCTGTTGTGTGGTTTAAATACTGTAGGTGGAGATGTAATTGATGTGATTCCATTCCACCACTTCCCCGAACTTGCGTGAATTCTAAACGTCTTTTAAAGGATATGAATTGATTCAGGGAAAGTCTGATCTGACAGATATGTTATTGTTTCCCCCTGTAGGCCATGGAGGACCTGGACCTGGAGATGTTGGCTCCATACATCCCCATGGATGATGACTTCCAGCTGCGCACCCTGTCCCCAGAGGAGCCACTGTCGTGTGACCCAGCCCAACCCCTAGAGAGCTCTCCTCTGTGCTCTCCTCTGCACCTCACCCAGGATGTCCACAGCTACCCTGGCTCCCCCTTTAGTGGCCCAAGCATCCGGACAGCTTCCCCAGCCCCGGAGCTGGCAGCTAGCTCTTGCTCTGCCTCCTTACTCACCACGAGGTAAGTCCCACCACGTACACACACTCCTTCCAACTTACCCTCTCCTCAAAACTAAATCATATCAGTGTTTTCTGACTACTGACATGGTGTGTGACTCTCTGTGCTCTAGGGCGCCTCAGATGGACAGAGAGATCTCTCTCAGGACACTGGCCACCCAGAACACACAGCGCAAGAGAAAGTTGTCTCTGTCTCAGGCTGTCGGAATAGTAAGTGTGTGTAAGACCTTTAGAAATGTTTTTATCATGTAAAAAACAAATAACATTTAGCAGAGATATTCTGTTTGATAACATTCGGCATATTGAGGGCTAATTTGAATCTGTTGTTTTTCTCAGGGGGCATTGCTCCAGGACCCTCCTGGGCCGGGTAAAAAGCTCAAGGTGTCTGAGCTGGGCAGCTCTGAGGCTCCCTCCAACAGGACCATACTGCTCCTACCTACAGGTAGTTAGTCCTGGAACACCCAACAGCCAAGGCCTGGCATTAAGCTTATGTGTACAGTACCTTCGGAAAGTATTCTGACCCCTTGACCTTTTCCACATTTTGTTATGTTACAGCCTTAATCTAAAATGGATTAAATAAATTAAAAATCCTCAGCAATCTACACACAATACCCCATAATGACAAAGCAAAAACTGATTTTTAGAAAGGCTGTAATCGCTGTCAAAGGTGCGTCAACAAAGTACTGAGTAAAGGGTCTGAATACTTACATAAATGTCATATTTCAGTTTTTTTATTTTGATAAATTAGCAAAAACTTAAACAGTTTTTGCTTTGTCATTATGGGGTATTGTGTGTAGATTGATAAGGGAAAAAAACGATTTAATCAATTTTAGAATAAGGCTGTAACCTAACAAAATGTGGAAAAAGTCAAGGGGTCTGAATACTTTACGAAGGCACTGTATGTTTTACATATTTACATGAACAATGACACTAGTGTCCCTTATATTCTCTTGTTTCTCTTAGACCTGGCAAGCCGCCTGCTTGGCATCTCCTCGGAGGGAAGCGGCTCACCCTTCACCCTTCCACAGCTGACCCGGTATGACTGTGAGGTTAACGCCCCCGTGGTGGGTCGCCAGCACCTGCTGCAGGGCGAGGAGCTGCTGCGTGCCCTGGACCAAGTCATCTGAGGCAATGCTTAGCCTGCCTCCTGCTGGACCAGACTAGACACTACAACTTCTCCTCACTCACTCCCTGTCCCCACCCACTGCCACTTTATTTGTCTCTGTGTCAGTTTGATATTATACTTTGGCTGCTGTCTGCATCCACCAAGTGATCTCTGCAGCGTTCCACCTTGATGAACGCCATACAGAGTTGGTGTAAGGGATGTGGTAGTGTTTGCAGGTAGAGGCACGTAATTGTTTATTTCTCGGGAGTCTCTGACAGCACACGTATGGCGCCTCCATGGATGGCTCTGTTCTGTCAGGTCTCCATGGAAACCGGCGGCGCTAATGCCAGCAGTGTATTGTAAGCTTCAGTCGCACAATTTATATTTTCTAAAAAAATTAAAATGTACCAGCAATATATATTACGCCTTTTTAAAAGTAGTTTTAATGGAATTTCAACCATTTTATTGAACTTTTCCCTCTGTATTCTTATGTCGTGTATAACAATAGTCTTTGGTCCAGAAGGCTGAGTTCATTGTTTCATTGGATGTTCTATCCCTATTACTGGTTACCAGAAGTTTAGGCTTAAGTGTGTGTGTGTTACTGTGCATAGACCAGGAGAACATTTAGAGATGGCTTAAAGCCTTTTCATGAGTAATACAATACAGGTGGAAAGGTATCATTTCAACTAAATCCGGTGTTTGTTTTTAATCATGGAGGATTGGCCACTCAGTTTGATCACATAAATCATATTTTAGTTGAGACTCAAACATTTCATTTAGATTGAAGTGGCGTGTATCATATGATCATCATATTTTACCAGTATAATTATCTCATCATTAGTAGCAAGCAAGTGTTATGCTTGCATACCTGTTTTCTCAGTTGTTGTCTGTTTTATGGCATTGGTCCACATACTGCAGTGTTATCATGCTTCCTGTTGCTGTGTAAAATAAAACTGCAAAAAATAATATTCATTGCCTTGTTTAAAATATATATATATTCTGTCATGTCATCATGGAATATTGTGGTATCATCCTTGTATTACTCAATGTTTTCTTATTTTACAAACGATGGAATAAAAAACATTAATTCTTCACTCCAACAGAAGAATCCTGCACTCAAATTGAAATGACACATTAGATACTGAGCCTAACAACAACAACAACAACAACAACAAAACTCTTCATAGTTGATACATGCTTACAATATTCATGTATTATAGTTACGTTTGTTTGATTGGTACAGACACAAATGTTGACACACTCCCCTCCATACAGTCGTGGTCAAAAGTTTTGAGAATGACACAAGTATTGGTCTTCACAAAGTTCGCTGCTTCAGTGTTATGAGGTATTTTTGTCAGATGTTACTATGGTATACTTAAGTATAATTACAAGCATTCCATAAGTGTCAAAGGCTTTTATTGACAATTACATTAAGTTTATGCAGAGAGTCAATATTTGCAGTGTTGACCCTTCTTTTTCAAGACCTCTGCAATCCGCCCTGGCATGCTGTCAATTAACTTCTGGGCCACATCCTGATTGATGGCAGCCCATTCTTGCATAATTAATGCTTGGAGTTTGTCAGGATTTGTGGGTTTTTGTTTGTCCACCCGCCTCTTGAGGATCGACCACAAGTTCTCAATGGGATTAAGGTCTGGGGAGTTTCCTGGCCATGGACCCAAAATTTCAATGTTTTGTTCCCAGTGCCACTTAGTTATCACTTTTGCCTTATGGCAAGGTGCTCCATCATGCTGGAAAAGGCATTGGTCGTCACCAAACTGTTCTTGGATGGTTGGGAGAAGTTGCTGTCGGAGGATGTGTTGGTACCGTTCTTTATTCATGGCTGTGTTCTTAGGCAAAATTGTGAGTGAGCGCACTCCCTTGGCTGAGAAGTAACCCCACACATGAATGGTCTCAGGATGCTTTACTGTTGACATGACACAGGACTGATGGTAGCGCTCACCTTGTCTTCTCCGGACAAGGTGTTTTCCGGATGCCCCAAACAATCGGAAAGGGGAGTCATCAGAGAAAATGACTTTACCCCAGTCCCCAGCAGTCCAATCCCTGTACCTTTCGCAGAATATCAGTCTGTCCCTGATGTTTTCCTGGAGATAAGTGGCTTCTTTGCTGCCCTTCTTGACACCAGGCCATCCTCCAAAAGTCTTTGCCTCACTGTGTGTGCAGATGCACTCACACCTGTCTGCTGCCATTCCTGAGCAAGCTCTGCACTGGTGGTGCCCCGATCCCACAGCTGAATCAACTTTAGGAGACGGTCCTGGCGCTTGCTGGACTTTCTTGGGCGCCCTGACGCCTTCTTCACAACAATTGAACCTCTCTCCTTGAAGTTCTTGATGATCCGATAAATGGTTGATTTAGGTGCAATCTTACTAGCAGCAATATCCTTACCTGTGAAGCCCTTTTTGTGCAATGCAATGATGACGGCACGTGTTTCCTTGCAGGTAACATTTACATTTACATTTTAGTCATTTAGCAGACGCTCTTATCCAGAGCGACTTACAGGAGCAATTAGGGTTAAGTGCCTTGCTTAAGGGCACATCGACAGATTTTTCACCTAGTCGGCTCGAGGATTAGAACCAGCGACCTTTCGGTTACTGGCACAACGCTCTTACCCACTAAGCTACCTGCCGCCCCAATATTCATGTATTATTATAGTGGTTAACAAAGAACAATGATTTCAAGCACCACCCTCCTTTTAAAGCTTCCAGTCTGTTATTCTAACTCAATCAGCATGACAGAGTGATCTCTAGCCTTGTCCTCGTCAACACTCACCTGTGTTAACGAGAGAATCACTGAGATGATGTCAGCTGGTCCTTTTGTGGCAGGGCTGAAATGCAGTGGAAATGTTTTTTGGTACCCATGGTAGCCAAGCCTCAGATCTACAAGCCTCCCACCCCAGAGATGTTGGCCTACCTGGACTTCAATGTGTCCACCACAGGCATCTTGGCTGGAGTAAAGGTAAGCTAAACCCCACTCTGCAGTATAGTGACCCTCCCTCTCAGATTTTGCTAAAGCAGTAGACTGACCCATTTATCAAGGTCAACGTATGTCAGGTTTAAAGGTGTCCTGTAAGACAGACAGTATTCAGTGAAACTGTACTTGTCCTGTCATTGTTGTAATTTCGATGTTCCTCTGCTGTTCCTCCCCCCAGATGTCCCATGCTGCCACCAGTGCCTTGTGTCGGACTGGACCAAAAATAAACGTCCTTAGATGTTGAAAGCAAGCCAGGTCCGAACTGCACCAAAAACAAGATGTCCGGACAGGACCAAAAAAATATGTCCAAAAGACATTGCCATTGGTAAATGCTTAGTGGATAGTGCACTCTCTTTTACCAAACTTCAGAGTGCAAATTATACTGTGAGATTCGAGGGGTCTCTATTTTTTTCACGGGACCTCCTAATTTTTCTACAAAAATGTTTTATGGGCCTAATAGTAAAGACGTAATTTAATGATAAAAATGTGTATTACCTTTTAATTTGCTGTGTACACAACCAGTCATGATGTTTTCATCTTATTGTCAAACAAATCACTTCAGAATGTACTAGTAGGCTACCTGCGCATGTTCGTCCACTCCAAAATAATTCCAGCATCCAAACAGTGCACTGTGCGCTTGCGCCTCCTGAGTGGCGCAGTGGTCTAAGGCACTGCATCGCAGTGTTAACTGTGCCACTAGAGATCCTGGTTCGAATCCAGGCTCTGTCGCAGCCGGCCGCGACCGGGAGACTCATGGGCGGCGCACAATTGGCCCAGCGTCGTCCAGGGTAGGGGAGGGAATGGCCGGCAGGGATGTAGCTCAGTTGATAGAGCATGGCGTTTGCAACGCCAGGGTTGTGGGTTCGATTCCCACGGGGGGCCAGTATAAAAACATATGTATTCATAACTGTAAGTCGCTCTGGATAAGAGCGTCTGCTAAATGACTAAAAATGTAAAAATGTAAAAATGAATGGAAAGAGACATCTTTTACAAAACACCAATAAGTGTAATGACATTCTTCGATTGTCATTGGGTCTAGACTCTTGTAGCCTGAATTAATCGATGCGTCTTTACCAGTTACTGTAACGGATTGTACTGTTTCCTTTGAGCCACATTGTTACTGTATTAAACAACCTGAAACAATGTCACCTTCATCTGTCCTTTTGTGTGACCAAATCCCTTGAAAAAGAAAAGGAGAGCCACACACTCTAGGAGCTCAGATGCAATAATTTTATAACCAACGTTTCGACAGACAAGCTGTCTTCATCAGGGTATAATGACAAACACCGCGGGTCACTAGTTTATATAGATTGAAAGGACACACACAGGTGTCTGTAATCATGGCCGGCTGTGGCTTGATTTCATTGTTTGATTTAGATATATAAATAGAACATGTAAAAAAGCATATATGGATAACATAAGATCATTGATATAATTTGGCTACATAGGCCTGCAACCATTATTTGCAATGCATAGCAAAAACACAATAAATACAAGAATGACTTCAGATCAAACTCTACGTTGAGACCGAAGGGAGCAAGGGTCTTTAAATTAAAGATCCAAGCGGCCTCTCGTTTTCACAATCAATTGTCAAGGTCACCCCCTCTCCTAGGCAGGGTGATGTGTTCGATGCCGATACAGCGAAGGGATGAAATAGTGGTTCGCTTTAAAAAAGTGGGCCGCAACTGGGTACGTCGAGATTTTGCACCTAATGGTGCTACGATGTTCAGAGATTCTTACTTTTAGTTAGCGCTTCGTTTTGCCCACATAATTTTTACCCCAATGACAAGTTATAAGATAAATAACTGCCTTAGTGGACCACGTGATAACACCTTTGATTGGGATCTGTTTCCCTGTTTGGGGGTGTTTGAAGGATCTACAGTGCATTCGGAAAGTATTCAGACCCCTTGACTTTTTCCACATATTGTTACGTTACAGACTTATTTAAAAATTGATTAAATTGTTTTTTCCCTCATCAATCTATACACAATACGCCATAATGACAAAGCAAAAACAGGTTTTTAGAGAGTCTTG